CTTACGTAGGATTTTTCTCTATGTTCTAGTTTGATTTATTTTCAGTTATTCAGTTTAGTTGGGATTTTTGTTTAGGGGTCCACTAAATGGATTCCCAAGTTGGTACTCTTAGAGGTTTTGGAGATTTGGAACATTACTTTTCATTATTGTTTGGAGGATTTTATAATTCTTTCAGCTTTGTTATTTAATTCTTAAATTTTTTTTATATTCTATGTTCGTTTTAAAAAATTAATTGTTTGATATTCCCTCGGGTTTGGACTTGGGCTTGATCAACCCGTGTCTTGGATCCAAGGGGTATCACAGAGAAGGAGGAAGACGACTTAGAACACAAAATTGAGAGTTAAATAATATTAAACCAACCCACCTTCTCTATTAAAATATTTTGTAAATATTGTTTAAAGTTTATATATATATGGAATACAACTTAAAGAGGGGTGGTGAAAAATTAGTTACTCAATATTTTTAAGGGCTATTATCATAAAACCCCCACTATTTTCACATTTTGATCATAAATTCCTAACATGTTTCAGAAAACCCAATATGCTTTAAAAAGTAATCACATTCAGGGGCGACTCAATCTAATTTGGGGCCTTAGGCGAAAAATAGAAAGTGGCTTTTTCAACAATATAAATAAAATTAGTCACAACTCAAAAACAAAATACACAAATATATACACACACAAATTTATAATAACAAAAGTTAATAAAATTTAAAAATAATTAAAGAAAAAGAACCATTGAACCTGATTTAGAAAACCCAAATCCAATACTTCTATAATTTTTCAATAGAATAAAAATGAGTTCATAACAACTATAAACTTGTAATGAGAGTGGGAGGAGAAGACTTGTGAAAAGAAGAAGATAAAACATAAAAAAATAAAGAATATGGATAGTTTTTGCCATTTTCCCAAACAACAACCTTAAATAGATATTTAATATTTTCCTGTTGGTGTAACTTACCCAAAAATATTTTTAGTGTTGGTGTAAAAAACGTGAATGAGAGAAAGAAATAGGGGAAAAAAATATTTAATGATACAAATTTTTTAGCCTAATATTAAATTTCTATATTGGTTAGGATTTATTGTAAAAGGTGAATAAGAGTAGAAAATGGGAGTGAAAAAAAGTCATATAAGGATGTAAATCTTTGGGGGCCAATATTAAATTTATGTATCAATTAAAGTTCAATGGAACGAGGGATGAGAGAGAAAAAAGAAAAAAGAACTTATTTTTATTTGAGACCTAATATAAAATTGAAACGATTGGGGAGAGACAAAAAAATTAATTTAGATCTTTGAGATCTAATATAAATTTTTTATATTTATTAGAGTTTAACAATATTAGGAAATAATTATAGTATAACTTAATATAAGGAAATTTTAAAATTTTGGTGCTTTCCTATTGGTTGGGGCCTTAGGCCTAATCACATTGCTTAAATATTCATATCTGACCCGTTAACCTGGTTGTGAAATAACAAATTTGACCTTACTATTTAATGTTAATTTAAAAACTAAAAATTATTTTATTAAAATTACAAGAATACCCTTTTTAGTTTTTTTCTTCACCCTCTCTAAAAATCTCACCCCTTCTCTCTAAAACAGACCCATCAAACCCTAATCGTCACCTTATCAAAAACCCTTAACACCTTATTCACTACCTATTTCAATGGCTTCCCTCTTGGCCATTCTTCACGCCTCAACAAACCCTAGTCCAAAATCGTCCAACCCCCACCCACAATGCCAATATCGCCTCTTCAATTTCGCTGCGGTCAGTGATCATGACTTTCTGCTCACTTCTACTCTTGGTGGTGATATTTCGACACCTAATTATTTTTTTTGTGTTCATCACTGAATTATCCATCAATCTTAAGTAAAAACTTGTTGACTTCTTCACGTACAACCAGGTTGCCAAAACGTGTTATTTTAAAGGATTTATTAATTGGGATTAATTACTTTTATTTTGTTTAAATGATTTGTTTTATTTAAATGAGTGCTTAGATTAATTGTTTTATTTTAATTAGATTATATTTCGTGATTATATTTGTTGAATTGATATGATATTTTGCTTTATGGGAATGTTATGATTGAATTGGTTGTTTGATTTGTGTGTAATTTGCCTATGTAAGAATTATTTTGTTGATAAATTAACTTTTAAGGTTTGGTACGTGGTTGAATTGTAGGCATGGATGAGTTGCCAAAGGTATAAATATATTGCCTAAGTATTTGTATGAATAAAATACATACATAAGAAGCATGGATGAGTTGCTAGTTTAAAAGTATAAACATATATATACTTGTGAAGGCATGATTGAATTGCCAATGTATAAATAAATATACTTGTGAAAGCATGGTTGAATTACAAATGTATAAATAAATATATTTATAATGGTATGGTTGATTTGCCAAGGCATAATTAAATTGCTATGTGTTAGGTGATTAAAATTTCATCCAAGGTTATTGTATGTATAGGTTGGATTAGGATTAGATATTCTTAAATTAGAATAATCTAGTAATTACAGGTTAGTGTATTATTTTATGTATATTAATAAAATAATATTGGTGGAGACATGGATGATTTGTCAAAACCTAGATATTGACTGTGTGATTTAAATAATTAAATTATTATTGGGTTTTGGATTAAATATAATATTCATTTAATTATATTCTATTGTTTAAATGATTTAATTAATTGTCTAGGATGTGATTGAGGTTAATGAATTTTTCTTTAAAAGAAATGGTGGATTGGTCTAGGTATGATTATTATTTAATCATTGTTAATGGTTTTGGAATTTATTAACCTAGTAATAGATGTGACTATTGTATTATATATATTTATATATATGTGTGTGTGTGTGTGTGTGTGTGTATTTTATATATTAAAGATAAAAGGCTTTATTAGGATTGACTTTGGTCAGATATAATATTTTTATTGGTTTTCAGAGGCATGGTAGAGAGAACTTGCTCGTAGGTTTGACCCACTTATTTTTATCTTTCAGGTTACTAGAGGTTCAAGTTTCAAGGTTGAGGATCCGCAGTTGGAGGACTTATCTATTATTTTGTTTGAAATACTTGAATTGTTTTGAGATCCCTTAATTTTGTGCGCGGATTTGATCAACCTGTGTTCTGAAATCTAGGGTATCACAAAATGCGACCTAGAAACCACCATGGACGGCGACAAACCGTGGTCACCGTCCCCCTCTAAAACTATTGGGTCGCTGACCAACAACCCAACCCTCTCCAAATCGCCACCAGATGAATTGTAGCCACAATAATAACACAATGCCATAACAATCAGATGTAAAATTTATTTAAAATAATTGATTGATTTCAGTTGGAAGTTACAATACTAAATTTTATTTGTTTCTAGGGTTAAGTGCAAAAAATTCCCCTCTACTATCGATATAGTGCAAAAAAGTCCCTATATGGTATAAAATCCCCCTATACTATCAATTTGGTACAATTACCCCTATTCACATAAAAAGATATTAATACACTCTCTAATATAAATTTCAGGGTTAAGTGCAAAAACCCCCCCTTATATATAGGGTTTGTGCGGAAATAATCCCTACTTTTTGAAAATGTGCATTTCAGTTCATAAAATTTAAAAAATATGCAAATAAGCTACTCTGACCACTTTTTGGTCAAAATTGACATATAATAAATTCAAAAAAACTATTTCCTTTTTTTTTTTTTTTTTCTCTTGTCCTATGTTCTTTTTCTTGTATATCATGAAATATATCAAAATAATAGAAAATGATTGTGGAACACACACACACACACACTCTCTTTCTTTCTTGCTCTGACCACCATTGAATTTTTTCTCTCTCTCTCTTTATTGCTCTGACCATCATTTAATTTTTTTTTTTTGGATAAATAAAATAAATGAGAAAAATATACAAATATAAATGGGGCATACTCCATGCCCTATAAGAGGCCAAAGCCATTCAGGCCAAAGCAATAGACGAGTCCAAAAACAAAAGGCCATAAAAAAAAAAAAAAAAATGTGAAGTCCAAATATGACTTAAATTCAAAAATAACTAACTGAACGCGAAAGAGAGGCTTGATTATTAAGTTTGTCATATATATACAAATATTTCTTCTTATTTGAAAATTACACTAACCTCTGCCCCTTCCTCTCCCTCTATCACCTCTATCGCCACCATAGCTTTTAAAGCCGCTGCCACATTTGGGGCCTCTGAGGTTTCTTCCTTCTCTGAAGCCCCTTCCTCCTTTCCCTCCATCACCTCAGGCGCCTCTGAACCTTTCACCATCGCGACCTACGAATCAATCAACCAAATACAAAGGAAAAAAAAAAAAAAAAGAGAAAAAGAAAAGAATAAATTATCTAAAATGATAATTTTACATTGCCTAATTTTTTAAATATTATTTCATTTATATTAGAGGGGGTATTAATGTTTTTTTTTTTTTTAATGCGAATAAGGGTAATTGCACCAAATTGATAGTATAGGGAGGTTTTGTAACACACATGGATTGTTTTGCACTATATCGATAGTAAATGGAGATTTTTTCCACTAAACTCAAGGGCAAAATAGGGTTTTTGAATTTATTTTATGTCAATTTTAATCAAAAAATGGTCAGAAGGGCTTATTTGTACATTTTTTGAATTTTATGGACTGAAATGCACATTTTCAAAAAGTAGGGACTACTTCTATATAAACCTTATATATTTGGTTTTTTGCACTTAAGCCTTGTCTCTATTGATTATGCAATAAAATAGTAATCCAATTCCAAACTAGAAAAAAATGATCTTCTACGGATTCGGGAAACCTGTGCATAAATGAAATTGTATTGTGATTTGAACGGTTTAATTGGTGAGAACACTTTACACACTTTACGGTTAATAGATATGAATATTGAGGTAATGTGGTTATTTCTAAAAATGTAGGGGCTTTTTTCAAACTACTTGAGGGTTTACGATCAAAATTTAAAAGTTGGGAGGTGTTATGATAATAGCCTATTTTTAATTTACTTGGCGCTTAGACAGCCACTTATTCCGCAAAGGAGAAAACCAGGGGTTACTGTGAGACTCGAGTTAGCTTCATTACTCAGAAGATTTTTTGCATTTCATTCGAAATTATTTGTGGTGATTAAGGAGGCTGGGGAAACGACCTGCGTGTTTGCGAAGTGGATTGAGTGAGCTATGAGTTTACAAGGATTCGCTATTCAGTAATCAGTATGGAATAATTTCTATTGATTAATATATACATATAGTAGTATACATATAGTTTATCTGGAATGGCTTGCTCCGTTCTTCAGCAACACGCCCATAGTTTCATCTCCAACCATCAGGTCAGTCTTGAATACTTACTCTCACTATTTTATTGGGAAAAAAAAAAAAAGTATGTAAAGTGCGGTGGTTTGGTTTTTCGAATTGAAGCAGTCATTCAAAGAATTCCGGCATGAATTGGGCCAAATCAGATGCAACAACAAGAGGATTGGATTTAGGGCCCTCAGAGCTTCTTCTGCCGTTGAGACCTATTCTCCTACTTCATTCCCACTCTTTCAACCTCCGCCGCAACTGGAAGATTATCATTCTTCGTCTGAGGTTCACCATCAATCTGTCTCTCTCTCGCGTCATTTCCACGGTCAATTTTTTTATTATTATTAATATTATTATAAATTGCATATTTTTACGAGAGATACCATCCTTGGAATTAATTTAAATTGTTTCCTCTTATCTTATCCACACACACTCTTTTTCTCTGAAATTTTTAGAGGGAACTTTCCCAACAATTGGAGCCAGCAGATCCTGATTTCTATAAGATAGGATATGTTCGAAGTGTTCGAGCTTACGGCATTGAATTCAAGGACGGGCCCGATGGATTCGGAGTTTATGCTTCCAAGGATGTTGAACCTCTTCGACGAGCCAGGGTTAGTCGCTTTCCATCTTGGTCCATTTTATCGCTACCCAATATCATGCAATTTCTTTTTTTTCCCCTAAGTATATCATTCAATTTATTGCTTATTCTTTTTATTAGTTAATCTTGTTGATGCGTTGCAATTTTAATATCACGACATGATAGGCTTTATAATTTTAATTTCTGTACCTGACTGCTTAGGTGATCATGGAAATTCCATTAGAACTGATGTTAACCATAAGCCAGAAGCTCCCCTGGATGTTTTTTCCGGATATTATACCAGTGGGTCATCCAGTTTTTGACATTATTAACTCAACCAATCCAGAGGTAATTGTGTTCCTTTTTCTTTTCTTTTTTTAGTTCTATTATCATATATAAATGTTTGATTTATATATATATTGATTGACTCCCTTGTCAGGTCAGGAGATAAGTTCCCTTATTCTTCTGCTTCAAACTTGTTTTTTATTAACAATTTGTTTCACAACCTATTGGTAAATCAGACTTTTGGTTTATTTTAATTTTCTTCATGGTTTGTTTATTTGCTGTGGCAGACAGATTGGGACCTGAGGTTAGCATGTCTTCTTTTATTTGCGTTTGATCGAGAGGATAACTTTTGGCAGCTGTATGGTGACTTTTTGCCAAGTGTTGATCAGTGCACTAGCCTGCTTCTCGCTACAGAGGTGTGTGCAAAATGTAGATATAGAACTGATTCTCTCTTGCAAAACTGTTCAATGATGTACTTCCGGTGTCTGCTTTTATATTCTAGTTTTTCAGTTTTCTTAATTAACAAAGTTTTGAATCATCTTCTTCTGTGGATTCCTTTTGTTCTTGTTTAGTCCCCTTCGTTTTAGAAGTTGTTTCTATTTCTACATCTGTTTCTTCTGCACTTTCCCTTCTTTCTTCCGTTTTTGAGGTTTCTTTCAGTTTCTTAGTAAGAATGGGTGATGGTATTCTGCCAATTATCCAAGTCAGGGATATCCCTTGCACTAGTAAATATTTGATATGTGAAACAGTATTTTAAAATGGTCAAACGCTTACTTGGTTTTGAGGTTTGACTTAAGGAAGGATCAACAAAATGCATTGAGACCCAATCTTAATACTTGCGGCACAAGAATTGGTAAGCATACGAGGTTTACTGCCAATGTCTTGAGTCCAGCTAATAATACCTTAGGCACTTAAATACACGTCTAATAGAGGGTCTCCCTGTCAAAAACAACTTCAGATATTGTTGGACTTCCTACAAGGCTTTAAAATTCTCGCTTCAAAGATTCCAAGTTTTCATTTTATTGTTTTGAAGTCCTAACTACTCTTAAATTATCTAAACATGGATAACCGTGTAATCCTAATTCATTATTCAACATTGTGTATGCTTTCAAAAGTCCACATTTTTTTTGCGTCATCTTTCTCCTGCATGAAATAGTAGTAATGCACTTTTCCTTTTTGACTGAATTAATATGAAAAACAGGAACATGGGCTGAAGCCTCTTGCCTCAAGGCTAGTGCATCACACTCTGCGTGAAGTGTTAGTCTTTCTGATATGATTGTTTAAATTTGTGAAGTGTTAGTCTTTCTGTTATGGTTGTTTAAATTCGAAAAACTAGACAACACCAATACGCCATTCTTTTAAAGATCAATTTTCCTAACTCTAATAGTAGCATATATGCATCTGAAATTCTATTGATCATCACCATCTATTGGTTACTTGAATTCATGTTCGCCCCAATCAATTGTTGAGACAGAGCCTTGGACTTTTCAATTACAAACATGAGAAAAGAAAATACAGATAATGACGTGGTTGGCTGTGTCAAACTTCAGCACCTGTATCTTTTTAAGAGCCATCATCTGCTTCATGTTTCTTGAGTACTTAATAATCCTTTTGACTTTGCTTATTTTCCTTACTCTTCTTCATATTCTGTAGGAGGACCTCATGGAGCTGCAGGATCAGAATCTTGCTTCAACCATGAGAGAACAGCAACGTCGAGCCTTAGAATTTTGGGAAAAAAATTGGGTATGAAGTAGCCTCTCTCTCTCTCTCTCTCTCTCTCTCGCTCGTCTTTTTTTTTTGACAAGTGAAGTATCCTTTTCTCTTACTTCAGTATCATTCATTATTTTGATGCTGTTGCATTATCAGTATTCCAGTCTATTACTTGCTATTTTAACATTCTTTCTTTTTTTGTATTCTAGCACTCTGCGGTACCGCTTAAAATAAAACGCCTTGCTTGTGAGCCAGAGAGATTCATTTGGGCATTGAGTATGGCACAATCTCGATGCATTAACCTGCAAATGAGAATCGGGGCATTAGTTCAAGATGCAAACATGCTCATTCCTTATGCTGGTTAGCTTTTCCACTTTGATTTTTATCTTATCGACTAAAAACTCTGCCCATGGGATCATTGTCTCTTCTACAATACCGATTGGGGCTTATTAAGATAAAAATATGCCCTATTGCAACAAACGCAGCGAACCAAGAACAAAACAAGAATCATGACAGAAAAGTAAACATGCCGCACATAAAGATTTACATGGTTTGGCGTAAGCCTACTCCACGGTGAAGATCCGGTGAAAGATTTCACTATTTGAAAAACAGCAGATTGCAAGTTTCAGCCCCAAACCTTAGCTCTTGCTCTTACTCTCACTCTCTTTCTTGCGATTTTCAGTCTTCTCTCATTATTCCACTCAAAACCCTAAACGCCCTTATATACCGGGCTACAAGAAAGTGCCAAATCGACCCGGGCCGAAACAAAATTTGGGCCACAACATCACATGTCCTGACTCCTTACATTTTTTAAATACGATTTAATTCAAGTTTGTTTTTTTTTTTTGATAAATAAAATTTTATAAAAACGCTCAAAAGGGGAGCGAATCCCAAGAGAAATTCAAGTTTGTTGTTCAATTACTACTGTACCAGATGTCTAGAAATTGCTTTTTAAACAAATAAAGATATACTCACTGATATCAATGTATAAACATAATATAAAGCAATTTAAAGTGCACACCAGATTTTTATGTGGAAAAACTCTCTTTCGGCGAGTTAAAAAATCACGGGACCTAGTTTGGCGGCAGATCAATCCATTATGAAGAAAGAGATGTACAGTCCAAGTTTGTTCAGTACCCTCAAACTCTTAGTTGATCCCTAAATACAGATTTACAACAAACCTTCCGTCCTTCGAAGATCTCCAAGTTTTCCTTTTGATATCTACAACATTCAATACACTCAACACTGCCTATTCACTGATTAACTATCATCCACTTGTCTGTTTGGATTAAGAATCTAGGTGATTACTCTGAACAGTGTTGTTGTAAACTTTGCAGCTCAGCAATAATAGTATCAACGCCAATTATATATCATCTACTCGCCAAAACTAATGTGCATGATGAATGATGAAAAACAAATAAATATTGCACTCAGCATTTTACTTTGATCTCACAAGTATAATACTAGAAAATATGACTGTTATGACAAACACAACGAACTCAAGTTAAACCAAGAATCATGACAGAAATTAAATACGCCACACAAAGAACACAAAGATTTATACGTGGTTCGGCAACAGCCTACGTCCACGGTTGGGATCGGCGAAAGTTTTCGCTATGTGTAAAATTGAAGATTACAAGTTTTTAGCCCCTTACTCTTTGTTTCTATATGAATATCAAAGTCTCTCTTCTCCATACTCCAAATCCTAAGTGCCCTTATATATCGGGTTACAGGAGACTAATTAGGGTCCACGACCCATGAACAAAAAACGGGTCAAAAATTTTATTCAACGGGTCGTCGGGTTATAAGTGGGTCCCGACACAAAATTCGGGCGACAATATCATAAATCTCCACCTTAACTCAAATTATGCCAAGCTCCACAATCTCTAGCTACTCCTTTCGCCGCCTCCACATGCCCCTAAGGAGCTCAGCAACTGCAAGTACCAATCAAGTCCAGACAATGTCTGAACTTGAGTGTAGGAATGACCTTAGTCATCATATCTGCCGGATTCTCTACTGTCCCAATCTTCGTCATTGCAATAGCACCTTGTGCAACCACATCTTTGATGAAGTGAAACCTGACATCAATGTGCTTGGTCCTCTCATGGAACATCTGAATTTTTAATCAAATGTATAGCACTTTGGCTGTCGCAAAACACAGTCAAATCATCTTGCTGCAAGCCCAAATCACCAAGCAAGTAGGGCTGCAACTTGGGCGGGTTGGGGGGGCTTGGCACTCATCTCGGGCTAGGCCCATATAGAAAATCTTTAGACTAAGCCCATCCCGATCCCGCCCTTAAGCCCTAGCTGAGGTGCCCAAGCCCATTCTATACATAATTTGTCCAGCCCGAGATCGCACTAAGCCCACCTTAAAAGAATTTGTGTGTAAAAAATAAATCAATTAATGTTGCACCCATGACTTGAACCTGAAACCTTAAGTATAAATCCCAAGCACACTACCAACTTTACTCCTACACTTTTGTGACTTAAGCATAATTATAAATATATATTATATTTTCGGGCTCGGTTTAGGCTTCAGGCTTCATCCATATCAACCCAATCCCAGTCCGAATTGAATTTGGGCTCAAAATATATAACCCCGGCCCAAACCGAAATTAGAAAAACATTGGCCAAGCCACAAAATTTCGGGCTGGGCTCGGGTTATTTCGGGTTGGGCCAGCCCGAGTTGCAGTCCTACAACCAAGCCTCTCAACTATATAGCTTCCTTCACTGCCTCTGTAGCTGCCATGTACTTAGCCTCAGTAGTAGACAATGCAACTATGGGCTGCAAAGTCGCCTTCCAATTGATCACACTCCCACAAAGAGTGAAAACATATCCTGTCAAGTACCTCCTCCTATCAAGATCTCGAGCATAATCCAAATCAACATATCCAGCAACACTCCCACAGGTATCGCTGCCTCTGTTATAGACTAACCCAACATTTGTAGTGCCTTGCAAGTATCGTAATTGTTGACTTTAAGATATAATCAAATCAAGAGTAAGTGATAAAGAAAAAGAGAAGAAAGCGGATGCAAGAAAAAGAGAGAGAGATGGGGAAAGAGAGAAAGAGTGAAAGAATACTTTCATTCTTCCACCACATTCTATTTATTATGCCCAGCTTGACTAACATATTTTGCAAGCAAGTCTTGCTCACACCCTTAGTCAAAATATCAGCAACTTGATCATGTGCATTGACGTATGGAGTATAAATCAGCCCAAGATGAAGCTTTTCCTTGATGAAGTGTCGATCGACTTCAATTTGCTTTGTCCTGTCATGTTAAATTGGATTGTGGGCAATGCTAATAGCAGCCTTGTTGTCACAATACAACTTCATTGACTCACGAAAAGGATAACCCAACTCACCCAACTTTGTACGTAGCCATAACAACTCACAAACTCTATGTGCCCTGGATTTGAACTCAGCCTTTGCACTAGATCTAGCTACTACACACTGTTTCTTGCTTCGCCATGAAACAAGATTACCTCCAACAAATGTGTAATATCCTGAAGTAGATCGTCGATCTGTCACAGACCCTGCCCAATCAACATTAGTATAGGCTTTAACACGCAAGTGGCCATGACTGCCAAACAATATCCCCTTACCAGGTGAACCCTTGAGGTAGCGAAGAACATGATGAGATGTCTCAAGGTGAGGTATATGTGGAGCATGCATAAACTGACTAATCACACTAGCAGCGTAAGCAATACTTACTTACTTCAGAGAATGGGGTTCGGAAGCAGATTGAGGAAATGGATAGAGACATGTCTTTCTACTGTAAAGTTCTCTGTTCTTGTGAATGGGTCTCCCGTTGGTTTCTTTGGGTGTTCTCGGGGTTTAAGACAAGGAGATCCCTTGTCGTCTTTCCTTTTTCTCATTGTAATGTAGGGTCTGGGTAGACTTATGAGGAGGGTAGAGGATCTTGGTCTTATAAAGGGCTTTAGGGTGGGTAGAGATATAGTCCATCAGTTGGAGATCTCTCATTTACTTTTTGCGGATGATACCCTGGTTTTTTGTGATGCTGATGTGTCACAATTTAGATCCTTGAGGTGCATTCTGGCTTGTTTTCAGGCAGTTTCTGGGCTGAATGTCAACGTGGCTAAGAGCGTGCTATTCCCGGTTGGGGATGTTTAGGATATTTCTTCCTTAGCCGCAGTCCTTGGGTGTTGGGTGAGTTCTTTTCCCATTCCTTACTTGGGTTTGCCCCTAGGGGTTTCCTCCAGGTGAGTGGGGAGTTGGGATCCTGTGATTGACAGGTATGTGAAGAGATTGGTAGGATGGAAGAAGCAATATCTGTCCAAGGGAGGAAAGTTACCCTTATAAAGAGCACTTTATCAAGCCTTCTTACTTATTTTTTATCTATGTTCCAAATTCCATACTCCGTTGCCAAAAGGATTGAAAAGATCCAAAGGTATTTCCTTTGGGGCAAAAAGGGCGAAGAGTTTAAGTATCACCTTGTCAGATGGGAGCAAGTTTGCAAGCCTATGAAGTTGGGTGGTCTAGGCATTAGGAGGTTGGTTCCCTTTAATCAAGCTCTCTTGGGTAAATGGTTATGGAGATTTGGGAAGGAAAGGCATTGCCCTTGGCGAAGGCTTATTTCATGTCGTTTTGGGGAAGAGAGTGGCGGTTGGTCTACTTGTCCGGTTTCTATTGTGGGAGGAGTTGGTGTATGGAAATCCATTCGGAAGGGTTGGGATGTTTTCTTTTCCCACATCAGATTCAAAGTTCGTGATGGTAGATGTGTTCGATTTTGGGAGGATTTATGGTGCAGTGAGTCGGTGACCAGCCATTATCTTGTACATTTCCCAGATTATATAGTATTGCAGTTGATAGACATGCTTGCGTAGCTGACTGTTATCGGCTTGATAGTAGTGGGGTTACGTGGGACGTGCACTTTCGGCGTTCTTTTTAAGATTGGGAGATGGACGAGGTATGTGTTCTTTTGGATCTATTGTATCGGCAGGAGACAGTTGGCAGAGGTAGTGATGATCTTATGTGGATCCCCTTTTCCCATGGTCGTTTCGAAGTACGATCCTTGTTCCTATACCTATCTAACTTTGATAGCCTTGATTTTCCATGAAAGACCATATGGCGTTCTATTGCTCTAACTAGAGTGGCATTCTTTGTATGGACTGCTGTATGGGGTAAGATCCCGACAATTGATAATTTGAGGAAGAGAGGAAACTGTATCGTTAATTGGTGTTGCCTGTGCAAACAAGATGGTGAGTCAGTTGACCATGTCCTCCTACATTGCCCCGTGGCGTACGGCTGCTGGAATCTTATATATGGTTTGTTTGGCATGCTTTGGGTAATGCCTTGATCTTCTAAGGATTTGATTCATGCATGGAGAGGTTGTCGTGT